AGGATGCTTTGTATTGTGCTGCTGCTCAGTATCTTAGATTAATTTCTTCTTTCTGTTCTGAAACTCCAGTTTTGTGTATGTTATTCCTCTTGATGGTATCCCACCTACATCTTAAGATTTCTTCATTTTCCTTCTTGTTTCTGCTCTTTTGCTTTGGTAGTTTCATGCAGACAATTCTATCTTTTGTTTCACAGGTTCTCTGATCTATATCCTCAATTCTGTTTATCTGTCCTTCCAACATGTTGATGGCTTCTGCAATGTTAAGCTTGTTGTTCTTAATTGCTGGGTTTTTTTTAATTTTCTGAATTTTCTAATGTCTTATTGGTTTTCCTGCTTTATCTTGTGTTGCTCTGTTTAAGTTCTTATATGGTTCTACTTGTAACTGTCTTCAATTCTTCTTAGTTTTCTTTTATCAAGTGAAAATACTTGATCATTGTTCTTCTGAATTCCATATCCAGAAATTTTACCTCTCTTTTGATCCCCCCCTTTTTTTTTTAAGATATTTTTTTCTTAGGTTCTTGTGGAGTTTGAACAGCTGCCTGTTTCTTCTGTGACATTGTGGTGATAATATCTGGCTGAGTGGTTGATGGAGATGGGACTTCCCAGTTCTCATTTTATCAGGGGGACAAGGAATAATATGAAGGCGCTCTTCTAAACAGAGTCATAAGAAACAAGTACTTGGCCAGAAGGTCATTGAGGATGCCTCCAACCACTCTCCGCCAGTCTCAGAAATTGATGGAAGGTCTTCTTGAGTTAGAATTTGCATGGATGACAATGAGAGCTTTTTGTGTTTTCAATATCTCATTTACTGTCCTTGCCCCAGAGTCACAATCAACTCTTAGCTGACCTTCTAGCAGGATTATGAGAAGAGACAACTCATCTTTCACTTACAGAACTGATGATGGATTTGAACCACAAGAAAGTCATCATGTTTGGGTTAAAAACTCAACTCCTGATGACTCCACTGCCAGAGCTCCCCAATCCACCTTTAAATAATTCTATACATATAGAGACCAGGAAATTGAGAAGTAATAAACATCTTTATTTAATTCTAATGATATATCTCTATATCTGGGATTACAGAAGGTCTCAGAAAAGTACTTTAAGAAGGCAAACTCAACATCAAATTACTGCCATTGAGTCTGTTCTTCACTGAACCTGCATTGAGTTTCCAGTGATAAAAACCACAACAGCAAGAAACTGTCCATCTTGGTCCCTCAGAGCAGCTGATTGATTGGAACCATCAGAGGGAGGCAAAAGGACCAATAAAGGTATGAAATTTGAAATTTTACTTTTTGTGTGCAAGCCTGGAATATCATCTGTTTGCCTAAAATAACAGAAGAAACTACTATCTTTGTTGTTGTTAGTTGCTAAGTGCTACCAAGTTGACTATGATTCCATTGTGACACCATGAACAACAGATCTGACCATTGTGGTAGTAACTTCAATAGATGTTGTTGAGGGACTTCCTCTGTTTTCCCAGCATGAACTCTTTCTTAGGACTGATTTTCCTTTAAAATTTGCCCCAAGTTAGTAAGACAAAGTTTCATTATCTTTGCCTTAAGGAACACAGTGTTTGCATTTACTTTAAGACAGATTTCTTTACTGTTTTGGCTATTCATGGGGTATTCAGTAATCTTAGCCAAAGACACAATTCAAGGTGTTACTCTTCCTTGGTCTTCTTACTCACTGTCTAAATTCCAGATGCATAGGATGCAGTCAACGATACTGAGAGTTGGATCAGGAACACCTTAATCTTTAAACTGACACTGTTACTCTTTAGTACTTTGGACAAGTCCTTGATAGCAGACTTCTTTCCCAATGGAGAAAGACACAGCTTCTGATGCATACACACCTTTCCCAATTTTAAGCCATGTTTCCTTGTTCTGTTTAGACAAGTGCATCTTGGTCTATGTATAGGTTTGCATGAGCACTATTAAGTGTTCTGGGATTACCATGCTCTTATTCATAGAACGTAATAATTATATAATAATTATACTATTAGTACTTAATGTTGTTGTTGTATACCACAGAGTTGGAACTGACCCATAGCTGACTGTCTGATGAGTTTTCAGAGGAAGTTAATTGCACAGGAGGAGATTGCCATCCTTCTCCCTCAGAGCATCTGGTGGATTTGAACCATATGCCTTCAGCATTGCAGTACAGCTTCTTGCCACTAGGCCATGATCTGTCCTTACTGCTTTATCCTCCACAGAACAGACAATCCCCATTTTTGGTAAGTTTTAATAGGAAATTTTAAAGTGGGGACTGCATCTTCAGTACAAAAAACCAAGCTCAGCAAAGCACCACAGAAGACTCTATGCTACCCCCTGGTGGAAACTCTGTTCCTTAAGGACAGAGATAGTTGTGTTTCTGTGTGCAGAAATTGACCCATAGCAGCCCTTCCAGCAGGTGTTCAGAGGCAATAAGTTGCATGAGAGGATATTGCCCATCTTTCTCCCACAGAGCAGCTGGTGGATTCTAACTGTATACCTTTGGAATAGCAACACAGCTTCTTACCACTAAACCACCAGAGTTACAAAAGAAGAAATAGTAAATTAGGTAAATGACTTTTTTTTGGAGGCTGGAAAAAGCTTGAGGGCTAGAGAATTATTATATGAATGCAGAACTGTAAAGTGGAGGGCAATTTCCTACTTTCCTTTCTTTAAATGCATATAGCCCTATTTTATTGTGCTCCTGTTTTTTATTGGTATTTAACTCTGGCCTCCTTCCCATTGATATTAGTCGAGTCCTTAGTACTTGCCATGTTTAAATAAGAAGGCTTTTCCAGATACCCTTGATAAAGGCTCTGCATCCATTATCATCCATCAGGCAGCCCTCTTTGTTTTGACAGCATTCTTCTCAGCTCAAACTTTGGTATGTCTATACAATGGAACACTGTACAATGAAAGACAAGGCATCCCTTCAATTTCAGGCCTCTGTTCTTATTCTTGTGGTTACTTGCATATGAATCATCTTGGATTCTTAGTGGTTCCATATATACAATGGAAGAATATGCTCTGCATTATCTTCACGTTTGTGATAACTGAGCAACATTTTGTGGTGATCCATAGCGTATTCATTGGTTAAGTTTTGATAGTGGATTTGGTCAGGCTTTCCTTCTATGCCTGTCTTAGTTTGAAAACTATGCTGAAATCTATTGTTATGCATTAAACTGTGTCTCCAAAAATATGTGTTGCAAATATGTGATTATATTCTGGTTTTGAAATGCATTGTTTCTGTTATATTATTGACATAAGATTAGTAGTTGTTGTCATGTGTTGTCAAGTCACCTGCAACTCATAGCGACTCCATGTACAATAGCTCTGAATCCTGCTCTGTCCTGAGCCAACCTTATTGTCTCTGGCACATCTACTCCCATTACCCCAGTCACTGAGTCTAGTGTAGGGTATAATTCAAATGTCAGGTATAATTTTTTACCTTTTGAGATAAAGAAAGAGATTAAATAAGTAAGCAGAGTAGAAACAGAGAAGGAGATACGCAAAGCTACGTGAAGGTCAATTAGAATCAGAAGCTCAAGGAGACAAGGATCTTCCTCCTGACAAAGAAAGCAAGCTTTTCTTTTGAAGTGGCATTCTATGTTTTACTACTAGCCTCAAAAACTGTGAGAAAATAAATTGTGTATGTTAAAGCCAACAGCCAGGAAATTAAAAGACAAATTGCACTGGGAAAGTCTGTTGTTAGGGACCCCACCCCCCACAAAGTACTGAGGAGCAACGATGTCAGTCTGGAGACTAAGGTTCACCTGATATAGGTCATGGCTTTTGCAATTATTTGCTGTGTATCAGAGAGCTGGACAATGGCTAGGGATGATAGAAGGAGAGTTTATGCCTTTGAACTTTGGTGCTGGAGAAGAGTATTGAATATACCATGGGCTACTAGGAGAACAAACAAGCTGTTCTGGAGAGGGTGAAGCCAGGCTGCTTCTTGGAGGCAAGGATTTTGAAGCTCCGTCTGACATACTTTGGACATGTTGCAAGTCAGGATCAGTCCTTGGAGAGGGACATCATGCTTGGGAGGGTGGAGGGACAGCAGAGGAGAGGAAGACTTTTGATGGATTGATTCTGTCACTGGGGAAATGGAAATAGGCGTGTTGGAGACAATAAGATAGGCAAGGTATAGAACAGGGTTTAGGGCTCTTGTACATAGGGTCGCTATTAGTTGCAAGTGACTCAGCAGCACCTAACAACAGCAACAACAATGTTAAAACCATTCATTTGGAGTATTTCTGTTATAGCAAAACTAGATAACTATGACAACTAGATAAAAACTAGGTAACTAGATAACCTGTTCATTGTGGCTAACCCTGCTGATATTTTAAATTCTAGGGACATAGCTTCCAGTATCACAACACACCAGCCATCACAGCATGACAGATTAAAAGATGAGTAGTGAGCTGTGTCAAAGCTCATCTATGCTCTAGGTGGCAGTTAAATAGGAGTAGATTTATGACACACAGCATATTATGTGTTTTCCAATGTACGTATGCTTTCAACATATATGTAGTGCAATCAACCTTCTTCAACATCCTAATACAATTAACCATCATTTATTTTAACTTATTATTACTTGTCCAGTCCAAAACACCTCCTTGCTTCCAGAATTTCAATTATCCTACCTAGTGGTGAGAAGCTTTGCTGCAATCCCAAAGGCAAGTGGTTTGACTGTACCAGCTGCTCTACAAGAGAAGGTTAGGCAAATTGTGTCTAGAAACTTGCTGTAGAATTAGTTATGGGTTGGCTCTGACTAAATGGATCACAACAACAGCTAATAGCCAATAACCCACAATTGTTATCTGAAAATAATATGTCATAAAAGGTGAGATCTTATGGGAAAAGCCTGAGGTGTTAATAAACTGAGAAGTCAATCTCTTTGTTTCTTTCTGTTACTTCTTTCATTTTTTTTATTTTAGAATAGATCATTATTTTTACATAATATAAACAAAATCACTAATGTATCTAGCTATATGCTTGGTGTCCTTAAACTAAAATGAACCATGGAATGGGTAGACAAGGATTTACTTCCTGGTGGCAAACAAATTTCTTGGGAATACAGAACATGCATATTTTTTTAGAACTGTCTGCAAGTAAATGCTGACATAACCAAATTTCAATAGCCTCCTCTTCCTTGCCCAAATAAGCCACCTCCATAGTTTCCCCGCATACTCCCCCGCTGGTATCCCCACATCCTCTGAAACCTCCTCTTCCAGACCCTCTGTAGTCTCCTCCAGAGCTTCCTCTAAATCCACCCCCTCTAAAACCTCCACTACCTCCACCATATCCTTTCCCCCTGAAGGAGTTGGAGCCTCCAAAGTTGGAACCACCAAAGCTGGAGCCACTACTGAAGTTGGAGCTGCCTCCAAAGACGCCACTGCCGCCTCCAAAGCTGCTACTGCCACCTCCAAAACCGCTGCCGCCGCCTCCAAAGCTACTACGTCCAAAGCCACCGCCACCACCTCCAAAACTGCTACCCCCAAAGCTGCTGCTGCCGCCACCTCCAAAACCTACTTCTTTCATTTTTGATTCTTGACACTTCAGAGCTGCTGACTATCGTGGCATATTGATGAGCTGCCTTTTATGGAGTTATATTCTCTTCTTCATGAAATAATAATACTTATTTATGGACATACACTGCAACACAATCCAAATTGCCATCTTTGTTCCAAGAAAGACTGCATGGCCCAGTGAATGGTGTTTGAGTGATAACAGTGACAATTTCAGCTTCCAGGAAGGAGAGTAAAATGTAAACATTAAACTAAAAATATTCAAACCCACTCCTTCAAGTCAGTTCCAAATTGTGGTGACTCTCCACTGGTTTCTGTAAATCTTAATAGGAAAGGACTTTATTTTTTTCACAAAAAGCATCTAGTATATTTGAATTGCTGATCTTTTGGTGGTGCTATATTGTCAAGTCAACTAAAATCCATAGTGACCCTATGAACAATAGCTTTGAACCTTTCC